GGTGTTTTGTGGTTGAGTACCTTTGTTTCTTTTGTACTATGTGAGTTTGTGATTTGTAATTTTGTGTGCTCTGTTTTGTTCTAGTTTGCTTTTAATGATTTTAATGTATTTATTGTATTTCTTCGCATGCTTGCATGTAAAAATAACAATAAAAAAAAGTGTGAGTGTGTACTCACCTATTTGGAAATAGAGGAACTGTTTACAATGAATAACAATCTTGTACCCAAGATTGACCATGTAATGTATAAATTATACAATGTATGTATGTATGTGATGTAACTATATAACCTGAACTTGTAAAAGCACCATAATAACCTTCAATGATTAAGTGCTTAAATGTACACTAGTTTCTTTATCAGCTATCTCACCCTGTCAGAGTAAAAAGAAACAAATGTATGTGAATGCATGTGTGTGTATATATATGTATGTTTATGTGTGTGTGTGTGTGTGTGTGTGTATGTATATGTATGTGTATAAAGTATATATGGAAGCTGATCAGAATTACATTTCACCTTTGTAAATGCACATTAATGACACTATGTAAAAGACACATCAAACACTTTATGTTGGGCATATGTAAATCTGTGTATCTATGTATTTACGTATGTAGGTTAGCTTAGCATTTTAAAAGCAACGAATCACTTTCTGTGGTTGAGTGTTCAATAAACCCTTGAACTATATGTTTAACACATCTCTAACCCTGTCCATGGAGGACAGAAGAAAGTGTATATATGCTGGTTAGCATTGTAAATGTGTGGCCACGTCTGTGGTAGAAAAATATTAATAATAACAAAAAATAATAACAATAGAACAAGGGGGTTACAGATGGAAGCTTGAGACTCAAAAGTGACATAGATATGTTAACAAGTATTCTTTTAGCACAAGGGTAGTGAGTCTGTCACTATGTAGAAATCGGCGTCGACTGTACATTCTGTGAACAGGGCAATGACACAGGACAGGCCGGCTGGCAGTATGTTGGACCCTCCCTGGACATGAACTGCCAGGAGAGCCAAACCCAGAGAATTCAGCAGACGAGTCACCTGAAGCGATCAACTCCAAAGAGCCAGAGGCTGCATCAAACCCCCCCACAGTTCACACAATGAACCACTGGTGAGCAGTCCGAATGGAATCGAATCCTCGATCTGCGAGCGACACGAACCCTCTAAAGTGAATGCCACACCCCCACGACTCCTTTGCCGTGCTGTGAACCTGACGGAAGGACGAACCCTCTCGACCCAGTCTGGCTTGGTGAGCTTTGGTCACAATCCCCATGCTGAGAGATGAGGCATCCATGAACACATCGAGCAAGGACTCGGGAAGGTACCACGGCACCGAACCCCAAAAGACCTGAACAGGAAGCCAGAGACGCAGTAGCCGACGAAAGGCTCTGTGGTCCGAACCCAGCGATCACAAGAGCGGCGGAACGGATATTCCTGAAGGAAACAGAACAGCTGCCAAAGCCAGACCCGACCCGACGGGTAGACCAGCATGGCGAAGTTCAGACTCTGCACAGCTGCTTGAGTAACCGATGCATGATCCAGGTGCCCTGCAAAAACAAAAGCATCTGGGAAAGAACCAAATCCCTCGCGAGCAGACACGAGGACTGACTGGGAGCCCAGACCAGCCAGTCGTCGAGGTCAGTCAGAACCCAAACCCCTAACAGAAACAAATGGGTCACCATAACATGCGAGGTGTAAGATTCCAGCTGAATGAAAGGCAACGAAAACGGTAAGCCTGTCGCCCCACGGCAAAACCGAGCCAGTCCTCTAAACCCTGGATGAATCGGGATGTGCCAATATGCAGCCCGGACCTCCAGCAACACCACCCAAGTACCCGGCTCCAAAAGCAGCTGGACCTGGGACAGTGGTCATCCGAAATGAGGGGCAAAAGACAGAGTGGTTCAGATGGGACAAGTCCAGAATGAATCGTAGGTTCGCACAGTCCCGTTTCGGAACTGGAAACAATCGGGACACCCACCTGAGGGACCCCCCATCGTTTCGACCAAGTGAACCCATTCCAGGATGACCCGACAGAGTGCAGGGAAAGATGCCTTCCCTGCCAGCTCCGATCCTTCCGAAAGAGGACGAGTCACCCAATGCCACCGCAGGCCGGAGGAAACGACGCAAAATGCTCATAAATCGTTGGATCAAGCGAGAGCAAACAACGCAAGCCTCCCCTCCCATCATCCCGTCAATGAGGCGAACTGCAAAAGGGCCGGCGACCCTTACGAGAGCCTGACCGATGCTCAGAGTGATCATTGCACCGACCAGACGCCGACTACTCCGCAGGAGGGCCGGCCCCGAATCTGGCACAATTGGCTTACGATGACCAAAGGAACCCTGAGCCCTGGCACGATCCTTCCGAGCAGAACCACCACGGCTCCCAACCAACAAGTCCGACATAGGCTGGCAGAAAATGCACCACCGCAGACTCTGCAAACAGTAACGGACAAAAAAATGGGATGAAAATCTGTGTGCCAGAGCCCAAGCAGCTTTCAAGGAGTGGACGAGCACCGCCTGCCGGCATGCGAGGCATGAAGCAAAGAGACACCGCTTCCTTCAGAATCGGCGCAAACAACTTCAGCAATGCAGCTGATGCTTGAGCTGCTGATGCAAGTGCACTGGACACTAGCCCAGAACCAAACTCCTCCACATCCTCCTCGAGCCAGTCCGAAAACAGCTCCAGCAGGGAAAAGAAGCGCAAGACCCAAGCCAAATGCCCATGGGCACACAAATCCTTAGGCACCAGAAACGCTGAAAAGGAGAGAATCTGCACATGAAGTTGCACCTGGCCGATATCACGAGGAAGCACAGGGGCGAACAAGCACGCATTGAGATGCTCAAACACGCCCCCAGGTAAACCTAAACGACCGTAGTCAACTCTCGCCACTCAAGCGTGCGGATCCAACAGAACGAATGGCATGCCCCCAACAAAAAGAGAGGGCAGTCCGGCAGCCAGGACGACTGCGGCACATCATAACGCACCCAGTAAGGAAAAGAGGAGCCAAACTCAAAAGACGAAAAATCCATTACCGAGGCGTAATCCGGGTCTCACAGGAGGTAAGCAACAAAAGCCTCCTGCAACTCCCACAGCGGAATGCGGGAAGCTGAAATCCTCCAGAAAGAGGGAACGAAGGAACCCAAGGGAACCCGAAACCTAACCCGGGGAGGAGTTGAACCCATATCAAACTCATACAGGGAGGGGGGGATAGTAGAACCCCTCCCCTTGTAACAAGCCCCACACTGAGGGTTCCAACACCCAAGTAGGGTCAAACGGGGCCCAAGCCTCCAAGTCTACTCCTCCCCAGCCCCGGAATCCTCCACATCAGGACCCGGGGCTGAGCTGTCCTCCAAACCCTCTGCCTCTGGAGAAATGGCAGAGTCCACCGGAAAAAAACAAGGAGGAAAGGGGCCCGCTGGCGCGACCCAAAAGCCCCAGCAGGAGGAACAGGCTCGAATGCCTCCACCGCCGATCCGGAAGGGGCAGTCCCCGAAGCCGCCCGAGTCTCACCATCAATAAAACCCCTGCCCCGACTCCGAAACCCTCAGACATTTAGGGGCCAGGAGGAGGAGGGGGGGATGGAGCAGGATGCAACACTACAGGGGAGGGACGAGGGGCCAAGGACGAAACCAGAGATGAAGCAACTAACCCCCTCCTTCTCCAAGTCCAGGTCCCTCTAACCAAAGCGGGGCAGCCGCGGGGCATCCAGAAAGGCAATTAGCCTAGAGCATTGCAGCAACCTAAATTGCACATTTAATGCAGATGCTGCCTGCACCCGATAAATAGCATTATCGAACTGGGTGAACTGGAGTACACGCAAGGAACACCACTCGTAAGACTCTGAGTCAAAGATGTCATCAACCTAACAGGCAGCATGGTGGAGGCAAAGTTGGTGAATATCACCCGGAGACAAGGGGACAGAGCAACCTTCAAATTCGCACAAAGCGAGGTGGGACTCGGAGGTCTCCTCCATCAGACCAGTGAGCCCCAGTGGGGGTTCCCAGGGCCCTTAAGCTGACTGCTTAGGGAAGCCCAGACCAGGTACTGTTAACCGTTTATCCCAGAGCTACCAAGCAAACAAACTAAAAGCTGAACCCTTGCAACGTGTGCAATCATGGGGGACCTGGTGGAGGGCCACCAAAATCATACAAGTGGTCCTACAGCCACACCAGACAGACCCCTGCCAGGCAAAAGGAAACAAAAGATATATCCGGTAAAAGCACAACTTCCGCAGGGGAACAGAACTGGCCGCAATGCGTATATCAGACAGCTGCACAGTACCTTGTGCCCCAGCCATCGACGACATTACCTCCTACTCAAGGTCAAACAGGAATAAGAACAACCCCAGCTGATCCCAAGAGCGGCATTCCCCTAGCAGCAAAAGGACCACGCGGAGGTAGTGTCCCGAACGGCTCATAGAAGATAACCTTAAACCACAAGGGCAGTACTTACAGGGAACCTAGGGAAGGTGGCCTTAGGTACATGCTGCCCCAGTACTCTTGTGTTACTCCTGTCTCACACACCACCATACAATACAACACCGCTATGGACAGCACTGCTCAGAGGATGGAACCAGAGTCGATCGACTGCCACCAAACACTACAGCCTCTGAACTGGGGTTGGGAAGCCAGTGCAGTGCCTGACCTGGTAGATAGCAGACATAGACTGCTTCCAATTACACAAAGGTGTCTATAGGCCAATGCTCCTCGTGCCTCTCTGAGGAGGTCAGGTTCCGGCGTTGGGCCCCGTTAGAGCTAGAACTCAATCGATTGCCACGGTCTAATATATACACATCAGCCCGGTATAGCTCCGGGGAGCCGGAGGAGCTCTCCTCATAAAATAAAATAAAAAAATATTTGTAGATTTTTTACAAATAAAAATATTTTAAATTGAGTGAGAATTGCATCCATCAAGGGTTAAGCATTCACACCTGAATGGCACTGCATATTATGCAATGCCCTTCAGCGCTCAACAGTGTAAAACACTGAGGAATTACCAACCTGAGTGAGGGTTGCCGAGGTGCCGTCTGCACTCCTCACCACCTCGATGACAGGGTAGCCCATCTGCAGCGTCCACGTGTCCATGATCATCTTGACTGTTGTGTCTGGGGGCAGTGTGCCGTCTTCATGAGCAGCCTCTGTCAGGTACCGCCACAAGTCATCTTGTTCAGCGTTGGAATACTTCCTGGAAGCGAGTATAATGAGTGAGTATAATGTCAGTCTCAGATTACATTATAAGTCAAAGCATTTTGTAAACTGTTATAATAATTTAATCCGGGTATCTTGTGAAGCTTGTTTAATAAACCATCAATCTCTTTCTCTTAAATTTTATACATTATTTTTGTCATTACTAATTCCAATATTTTTTTATTCTGCGCCAGACTTGTTACCAACTGCAATAATTGTTGGGAGATTTTTGCAGCATCAAGTACGGAAAATCTCGCTAACTTTCACTGTTCTTAACTTACACTGATCTCCACTGCCACCCTGACCAGCCCTGAACCATTATATATCTACTGACTTGTCACTCACGAAACTCTTGCTTGTATTAATTGACACCCAGTCATGACCTAACACCCGTGATAATGCCTCACCACTGGTAATGACCACAGACTAACACATCTCACCACTGATCATAATCACATTTGCCTCTCACCACTGGTAATAACCAGTGACCCATGACAGTGACCTGTCCACTCACCCTCCCTTTTGTCCTAATGTTCGCCCTACCACTCTCCGACCTGCTATTATTAGCTCGCTCTGCTACCTGTACGATCTTCTATATCTGCTCGCACTAGAACTAGTAAAACCTGCTATCTACTCGCTCTACTACTCGTTTGTGACGATGTCAACGCCATCTGTGGAATGCACCTGACTCCATTTTTTGTTCTCTGGTGAAAGGCTGTGATTGTACTGACACCTGTGTAGTTTCCTTGTTACTATACGATTTATACTCCTCAGAAGTGATGTGGGACTATTTGTACTCCTCAGAAGTGATTTGGGACTATTTTTACTCCTCAGAAGTGATTTGGGACTATTTTTACTCCTCAGAAGTGATGTGGGACGATTTTTACTCCTCAGAAGTGATGTGTACCTTGGTCGACAAGAGGCCAAGGTACCACCCACATCACCCAGGACAGTCCTGAAGTCAAGACTAGTTCCAGTAAGAACAAGTGAGCCGAGTCAGTGGTGATTGATTTGTCTGTGATAACCAGTGAAGTATTGGTGGCTGGACCTAAGTAACCCAGTTGAGGTATGAGATTGAATTAAAGTCTGTATGTCTTCTGTGTTAAATCTTGTTATAGGTAAAGCCTTTTGGGGAAGTCAGCCAGCGTGTTGCTGGAGAGTAGAAGTAGTGTTTTGATTATTATTATTATTAACATCTTTATTGACAAAATTAATTACAATTTTGCCTAATCTAAGGATTTTGATAAAGCCTTATTGAAGTGACTAATGACTCGGGGTTGGATCTGGCACGAAAAGGCACTAAGGCCCCATGAAAAGTTTGAAATAGAAAGAACCCATATACTGGTCAAGTGAGGCCGTAACATTGTTTGACCTGCTATCGGCTCGTCCTACTACTCGTTTGACCTGCTATCTGCTCGTCCTACTACTCGTTTGACCTGCTATCTGCTCGTCATACTACTTGTTTGACCTGCTATCTGCTCGTCCTACTACTCGTTTGACCTGCTATCTGCTCGTCATACTACTTGTTTGACCTGCTATCAGCTCGTCCTACTACTTGTATGACCTGCTATCAGCTCGTCCTACTACTTGTTTGACCTGCTATCAGCTCGTCCTACTACTTGTTTGACCTGCTATCAGCTCGTCCTACTACTCGTTTGACCTGCTATCTGCTCGTCCTACTACTTGTTTGACCTGCTATCAGCTCGTCCTACTACTTGTTTGACCTGCTATCTGCTCGTCCTACTACTCGTTTGACCTGCTATCTGCTCGTCCTACTACTCGTTTGACCTGTTATCTGCTCGTCATACTACTTGTTTGACCTGCTATCTGCTCGTCCTACTACTCGTTTGACCTGCTATCTGCTCGTCCTACTACTCGTTTGACCTGCTATCTGCTCGTCATACTACTCGTTTGACCTGCTATCTGCTCGTCCTACTACTTGTTTGACCTGCTATCGGCTCGTTCTACTACTCGTTTGACCTGCTATCTGCTCGTCCTACTACTCGTTTGACCTGCTATCTGCTCGTCCTACTACTCGTTTGACCTGTTATCTGCTCGTCATACTACTTGTTTGACCTGCTATCTGCTCGTCCTACTACTCGTTTGACCTGCTATCTGCTCGTCATACTACTCGTTTGACCTGCTATCTGCTCGTCATACTACTTGTTTGACCTGCTATCGGCTCGTCCTACTTCTCGTTTGACCTGCTATCTGCTCGTCCTACTACTCGTTTGACCTGCTATCAGCTCGTCCTACTACTTGTTTGACCTGCTATCAGCTCGTCCTACTACTTGTTTGACCTGCTATCAGCTCGTCCTACTACTCGTTTGACCTGCTATCTGCTCGTCCTACTACTCGTTTGACCTGCTATCAGCTCGTCATACTACTTGTTTGACCTGCTATCTGCTCGTCCTACTACTCGTTTGACCTGCTATCTGCTCGTCATACTACTTGTTTGACCTGCTATCTGCTCGTCATACTACTTGTTTGACCTGCTATCTGCTCGTCATACTACTTGTTTGACCTGTTTTCTGTTCGTCCTACTACTTGTTTGACCTGTTATATGCTGCTCCTACTGCTTGTTTGACCTGCTATCTGTTCTTCCCACTGCTTGTTTGAACTTGCTATCTGCTCCTCCTGCTACTTGTTTGACCTGCTATCTGCTCGTCCTACTACTTGTTTTTAGTTGCTATCTGCTCTTCCTACTGCTTGTTTGACCTGCTATCTGTTTTTCCTACTACTTTTCTAACCTGCTATCTATTCACTCTGCTTCTCATCCCGATTACGCGCTTCTTTACAATCAACAAGAATGATACTTGCACCTGTTCAGGCATAGGCCAACTTTTAGTTAATTTTGGACGTGTGTTTTGTTTAGCAAAGTCCAATGAGCCACAAACCGGTGTTAGGAAGATCCCTCAAGTGCCTGGTCGAAGCAGCGCTTGGACATGGCTGTAGGCATGCGGCCAAAGAGACAAGTGGTTTCCTATAGAGAATAGCAAGAGACTTCCCTGGAGGAATGTGCATGGAGACTGAAGCTTACACATGTTTTCACCTGACAGCGGAGGCAGAGGATGGGGTCAATATCTGGTTGCCAGGTTATGGTAGATATATTATTTCCTTCCTCCCCCTTCCCCCACCTTCCCCATTGAGGTTAGGCTGTTCTTATGAACAGGTGAGATCATCACCATTATTATTATTATGCATGTTGTATATGTATGTTGTATATGTGAAATGTATGTTATGCAGCTCTCGGGTTAAGACATTTCATGAAAACATTGAGTAAAAGTTTCAAAAGAGATCCATTCCCTGCTTTCTTGCTACTTACCTGATGTGCAGAGTTGAATGAACACATTACACGTTGCTTAGAAAAAATATAGTTGAGATAGAGATTATTAAACCTTTGCTTGGAAAAGCTATCCCTGTAAATTAATGTATATATGACATTTATACTGTATATTATTTAATAAAGATAAAAATAAAATGTTGAGGGTTGGACTTCACGTGTGTCAAGCAGAGGACATCAAGGGCAAGAGTGACCGGGATTGTGCAGATGAAACCCACAATGATACTGCCCTCGAAGAGTATAACAAAGAAGCCTCCATAATGTGGTAAAATTAGGCCTCAACTCCTCCCCCCACAGTTTTGATAATTACACACTTCCCCACAGGATTGGTGGTTTACGGCAAACCACCAATCACTAGGGTATTCAAACACGAATCATTCAAATATAATGTGTTTGAATAAAGTTTAGATCTTGAGCACCGAGTACCAAAGTCCTTGTATCCCACCAAAGGTACAGCGCGTGTTTTTGGTCTGGTGAATTGTGCCGCGGGGAGTCCAGTCCCACCTGCTATAAGCCTGTGCTACAACCAGTCCCACCTGCTATAAGCCTGTGCTACAACCAGTCCCACCTGCTATAAGCCTGTGCTACAACCAGTCCCACCTGCTATAAGCCTGTGCTACAACCAGTCCCACCTGCTATAAGCCTGTGCTACAACCAGTCCCACCTGCTATAAGCCTGTGCTACAACCAGTCCCACCTGCTATAAGCCTGTGCTACAACCAGTCCCACCTGCTATCCACCCTATTGCTACCATCTGACCTATCTTTCCACCCTGCTACCCTTCCAACCTGCTATCCGCTCACGCTGTTACCAATCCAATCTGCTATCCACCCGCGCTTCTACCCGACTGACCTACTATTCGCCTGCCCATCTACGCATCCAATTTACTATCCTCCCGCCCTGCAACTCATCCGACTTGTTATTCGGCCGCTCTGCTACCCGTCCGACTTGCTGTCCTGCCCTGTTATCTGTCCGACTTGTTATCCTACCGTCTTGCTACCCATCCAATGTGCTACCCAACCGTCCTGCTACCAGTCTGACTTGCTATCCTACCATCCTGCTACCCCTCTGACTTGCTATCCTACCGTCCTGCTATCCGTTAGATGTGCAATCCTCTCGCCTTGCTACCCATCCGACCGATTATCCGCCCACCCTGCTACCCATCTAACTTGCTATCCTCCCACCCCTACTACCTATCCGACTTGCTATCTTGTCGCCCTACCATCAATTCGACCTTCTATCTGTGTGCTCTGCTACCCATCCGACCTGCTATCTCCCCGACCTCCTACTTGTTATCCTCCAGTTCCACTGCATGTTCGACCTGCTATCGTCCTGTCCTACTGCCTGTTCGACCTGCTATCCTCCTGTCTGTTCGACCTGCTATTTGTCTACCCAGCTACTCCTACGATCTGCCATCTGCCAGTCTTTTTTACCCGTTCGACTTGCTAGTCGCCGCTCTGTTACATGTCCAACTTACTATCCGGCCTCTCTGCTACCTGTCCGACCTGCCATCCGGCCTCTCTGCTACCTGTCCGACCCGCCATCCGGCCTCTCTGGTAACTGTCCGACCTGCCATCCGGCCTCTCTGCTAACTGTCCGACCTGCCATCCGGCCTCTCTGCTAACTGTCCGACCTGCCATCCGGCCTCTCTGCTAACTGTCCGACCTGCCATCCGGCCTCTCTGCTAACTGTCCGACCTGCCATCCGGCCTCTCTGCTAACTGTCCGACCTGCCATCCGGCCTCTCTGCTACCTGTCCGACCTGCGATCCGGCCTCTCTGCTACCTGTCCGACCTGCCATCCGGCCTCTCTGCTAACTGTCCGACCTGCCATCCGGCCTCTCTGCTAACTGTCCGACCTGCCATCCGGCCTCTCTGCTACCTGTCCGACCTGCCATCCGGCCTCTCTGCTACCTGTCCGACCTGCCATCCGGCCTCTCTGCTACCTGTCCGACCTGCCATCCGGCCTCTCTGCTAACTGTCCGACCTGCCATCCGGCCTCTCTGCTAACTGTCCGACCTGCCATCCGGCCTCTCTGCTAACTGTCCGACCTGCCATCCGGCCTCTCTGCTAACTGTCCGACCTGCCATCCGGCCTCTCTGCTAACTGTCCGACCTGCCATCCGGCCTCTCTGCTAACTGTCCGACCTGCCATCCGGCCTCTCTGCTAACTGTCCGACCTGCTATGCACTGTCCTATTCGACAACCCAGCTACCAATCGGATCTGTTATCTGCCCGGCTTGTTGCATGCCTGACTTGCTATCGTACCGCACTGCTCCTAGTCTGACCTGTTATCCGATCACTCCGCTCCACTTCGCATCCAATCTGTTCTCTGGACTCCTTGCTATATGGAAGGATTGATGTTATCCTAGAGAGGTATTAGAAATCTGCACCAAGATTTTAAGTTTTTGTTAATTTCTCTGAATGTCTATTTGAAGCCTCTTTATTGATACTTAACTTTATGTATTTAGTCATTTAAGTATTCGTAGTAGTCATCTATGTATTTGTGTGTACCATTGGTGTTATATGGCATGTGTACAGGAAGAATGTATATGTTTATCAATCAGAATGTTGATTATTTGAGGTGTGTGTAAATATATATGAACATGTTGTGCTGAGCGGGGTGAGAACAGCTTGAGCTGTCTCATCCCTTTGTGGGTATTTGTTCCTCATGCAACTTATTTCAATTATAGTTGCTGTATGTCGAACCTGCTGTCCTCCAACCCTGATATCCGTTCATCATGCTATGTGTACGTCCTGTTACTCCTTCCACTTGCTATCCGCCTGCAATGCTACCCATCTGATCTGTTATCCGCCCACCTTTCCTAACGTCCGACCCGCTATCCACCCGTCTCGCTACATATCCGATATACTATCCGCGCTCTCTTCTACCCATGTCACGCTATCCACCCACCCTAATACCCGTTCGACCTGCTACTTGCGTATCCTGTGCCCTGTTCTACTTGTATCCACATCCTTTACTACCCATAAGATCTGCTCTCTCCACACACGCTGTACCCCATCTGATCTATCTGCCTGCCTTCATACCTGTTCGACCTACTATTCGCTCATCCCACTACACGTCCGACCTGCTATCCGCCAGCTCTGCTTCTCCGCTGATCTAATATCCTTCTTCCCTGCTACCCGTCCGATCTTGCCCCTCTGCTTCCCATGCGATGTGATATCTGGCCGCGTTTTGATATTTTTGCCGAGAAACATTTGCGTGATTTCTCGCGGAAACTTTAACCCATCCACTTCTCTTGGTATTACCTTGATATCCGATCTACTATAATACAATAAAATTTAGTTTTCCATGTATATGCCAACACGCTTTTGTTTTTTATTCTATAATAATCATACAACAATAAGTATGACATTCCACACAGAAATCCCAATAGCGTGATACATCAAATGAACATATCCACAAGGGCCATGATGAGGGTTCGAACCTACGTCCGGGATGATCCCGGATGCGCCCTACCAGATGGGTGCATGGGGGGAATTGTGTAAAACCCCGGTATGTGTCTCGGAGAGGTTACGGGATTTTTGTGAGGGCAGTATCTTTCCCGGTTGCAATTCTTTTGACCATGTCATGACGTAATCGATTAAGGCGTGTCTGGGATCATGCCGGACGCAGGTTCGAACCCTCATCACGGCCCTTGTGAATTTGTTCATGTATGTCATTGTTTGCATCTAGTCATTCAGAATGTTATTTACGAATTATAACATTCGAAAACATTCTAAGGAAACTACTCCAAGCTTGTATTAAAGAGGAACCCTTCTTGAGCCCGGATGGGCACATGTATAAACAAGTAGATGGGGTCGCCATGGGTTCTCCCCTAGGTGTCCTGTTTGCGAACTTCTACATGGGTACCATCGAGCAAAAAGTCTTAGTCGACATGAACTTTAAACTTGCCATATACTGCAGGTATGTTGACGATATTTTTACACAGGTACCTGATGTCAGACATCTGCAGGAGCTGAAGGAGGCATTTCAGCGGAATTCTGTGTTGCGTTTCACTTACGAGATGGAAAAGGATGGGAAGCTGCCCTTTCTAGATGTAACAGTCATGGAAAGGAGCGGAGGTTTCCACACTGCAGTCTACACTAAGGAAACAAACATAGGAATGTGCCTCAATGCCAATAGTGACTGCCCAGACTGGTACAAGAGGAGTGTCGTTAACGCTTATGTCGACCGTGCTCTCAGCCACAGCTCAGGATGGAAGCAAGTCGATGAAGAACTCTGTAGGGTAAGGCAGGTCCTAGTCAACAACGGCTTCTCCAATGGTTTCGTGGAAGACATCATAAGAAGGAAGGTGAAACGCCATGCAACCTCTGAAGAGACAACTAACACAACACCTGTACCCCCCTATTAGACTATTTTACAGGAACTTCTTTTCCACAGCTCATAAAATGGAGGAAAGGGTCCTGAAAGATATTGTTAATAGAAACGTTATCCCTACAGACAAGGCAGGTCCTAGTCAACAACGGCTTCTCCAATGGTTTCGTTGAAGACATCATAAGAAGGAAGGTGAAACGCCATGCAACCTCTGAAGAGACAACTAACAGAACACCTGTACCCCCCTATTAGACTATTTTACAGGAACTTCTTTTCCACAGCTCATAAAATGGAGGAAAGGGTCCTGAAAGATATTGTTAATAGAAACGTTATCCCTACAGACAAAAATCAGAAGATGCAATTGACGATCTACTATAAAACCAAGAAAACGGCCAGCCTACTCATGAGAAACTCTCCAGACACAAAGCAGAACGCTTTAAAAGAGAACAATGTCGTATATGCCTTCAAATGCCCACTTGGGGACTGTAAGCCTCAAAGAATTCAGTATATAGGCAAGACAACAACATCACTTTCCAGGCGATTAACGATGCATAAGCAATAGGGCTCCATTAAGGAACGTATAATCTCTTCCCACAACCAGACCATCACCAGAGAAGTCTTACTAAAAAACACGGAAATCATCGATAGATACAGCGATAGCAGGCGGCTTGATATCTGTGAGGTACTACACATTAAGAAGTCAACACCAGCAATCAACAGCCAATTAATGCACAACTATATTCTACCCACTTCAAGACTCCGCACCAATATAGAAGCATCAAGAAATATGGGCCAATAGGCCCTTTGCAGTTACTTCCATTCTTCCCTTTAACTTACAAAATATTATACCCATTGTTTCGTGTTCTGTCTTGTGTTGAAAGTTTGTTTTCACCTCACCCAAATGCAGGTATAAAATCGTAGCTGTTTAAACGGTGTTTAGTTATAGTTGTGTGTGTGTAAACTAAAGTCTTTGAAAATATAATAAGTTATTACGAAATGCGTTCAAGTGTCGCGTCAGACTAGAAATAAAAATGAATTTTGGAGAATTGATTTTTCAATTACCATCAACAGTGAAAAGAAATATGAGAAATATTGAGAAAATTCGTGTTAGAATTATTAATCTTACTTTTTCGGTCATATTTAATAATATATGTCTACAGGAAAGACTGCTACCAAAATATACTTTATATATATATATATATATATATATATATATATATATATATATATATATATATATATATATATATATATACATATATATATATATATATATATATATATATATATATACATATATATATATATATATATATATATATATATATATATATATATATATAAATATATATATATATATATATATATATATATATATATATATATTATATATATATAATAAAAAAGGAAATACATATAGGGTACAAAGATGGTTATCATAGGTTGTCGAGTTCCCACTGCTCCTCAGATGGCGGGCAGGAACCCTGAATGCAGTGCGCATTTTCCCTCTGTATCGCCACGCTGAGGCGCTGGAAAAGAAAGCTGGCAGCTCTGGGGTCCCTTGTTGTTTCAATGAGCCTAGAACCCAGTTCCTTCAAAAAACTGGTAGCATTTTTACCCCAGGCGCCGAGTGTTTCAGAAGCAATGGGGACAAAATTGTATACTTACTCTATACTTTATACTATAAGTATAATACTCTATACTTACGGGATTTGGCTGCTTCCCTGTGGGTGGCAGCGCCACCTGGTTGTACAACACTGAGATCAATGTAGGTGTTAGCCAGGGTATATTATATATATATATATATATATATATATATATATATATATATATATATATATATATATATATATATATATATATATATATATATATATATATATATATATATATATATATATATATATATATATATATATATATATATATATATATATATATATATATATATATATATATATATATATATATATATATATATATATATATAATGCACTTCAGAGCAAGAACAACAATTACTGACTGGCCATTGAGGTAGTTGGTGATGCCCTTCCTGAAGGTCGACTCCGTCAGGAAGTTGTACATCATGCGAATAACAGATGAACCTGTGAGAATATGATTACCATTACCTTATTGAAAAATTATGATCACTATGTTTAGTAATAGCTTAAACACCAGACAGCACTGAAACAATTGCTGCTCTTGCCAAACTTGCATTTAATAGTTATAAATATTTTAGCCAGAGCACTTTACCTGTCAAGAGTACATTTGGCTGAATATTATAAAATATCAGTTTGTACACTACAATTTAAATTATATTAATTTTTTAATAATGACATAGTCGTACTGGACATTCTGCATCGTATCTTGAACCTGTTTAAGACTCATTTAATACGAATCGTATTCAAAGAGGCGGAATCTTTGTTGTTCACTATCTGACTATTCGCTATTACTAGTATCTGCGAGTTCAAATACCTTAGAATGACAACGAATAAACAGTCATACAATACGACCATTATATAATTATCATTAGTTATTTTAACTTTTGTTAAATTCTGTTAGACCGGCATGAACTGTCGGAAAATCCGACACCATTTAATATAACATACAGACAGATAATAATTGCTGTATTGTATAAACAAGTTACCCATAGAAAATGTAAATTGTAGTGGAATTTCCGTCTATAGAAAACGGGATATCATTACCACATACTATTATAAATTCACCACCTATTATGGTGGGAATTATTCTTAAATACATTAGTCTTTGGACTTTACCATCATAAAAACATCTCATATAAATTAACTTAATTATCAATATTAAAATAGAGTAAATGTGACCCTTCTATCACTTACTGTCATCTGGACAATGTAAGCCAGGCGTCAGGGGTGAGGGAGTGGGCAGCCATTGTTTGTACTTAGACCACAGAGGCTCACGGGAGCAAATATGGCTCCTGTTAATTTTACTTGGACGAAGTATTATGGAAACCAAAGGTGTACCATTATCAACACGCTGTCAACATATTCAAGTTAAGTGTTCTGCCGAAACCCATTTATCTTTCATTTATGGCCATTAATGTCAGTGGATATAGGGTTCGCCGGTTAGAGCATGAGATCGCCTCATACTAAAGGTAATTAGCCCAGGTCTTCATGGTTCCTTGTACAGTGTTTTCTCTGATATACCTGTCATATATTAGGATTCTGGCTTTACAGCTAGCGCCCTTTTGACAGGTCAAGACGAGGAAGTCATCAGTGCATCAGTTACCAGGGTGATGGAAGCTACCTCAAAGAGGGAAAATGTGGTGTCTACATCCTGGTTATACCTGGTGGACTAAGGCCTGCTGTACTATAAGATAAGGAACCTCTTCAATGTATGTAGTCTAATACTGTAGTTTGATTGGCTGCATATATATAAATTCAATTAATATAAACCCCCCTAATGTGTAGAGGATCGATTTGTGAGATTATGAGATTATTGCAGAAATACAGTCCACTTATCATCATACAAATTGCTATCGACGTATATAAATTAAATAAATATAAATCTCACAGGTCGGTTCCCACATGAACAAACAACATATTCTATTAGACAGGAAATAATAAAATCATGCTAGGTTTGACTGGAAATAAGAAATAATATTCTCAGTTGAAATCAGAAATAACAAATAATAAGTTATTTCTGGTTAGACCAGAAATAACAAATGTAGAAAATATCCACCAATTTATAGCATAACAAGTTAATTGTGTTCTGTTGATCACGAAATTTCCCCCTAGCAACAGCTAGCTAATCTAGGCTGCCTTAACGTTATGACAAAATCTGTAAACTGTCCATCTAATGTTTACTTTTTGGAGTATGAATTACTGTTTTAATGCTATTTTTATTGAAATATATCTTAATTCAGGCATTTAGATACTAGCCGAAATAAATAGCTAAATTCGGTCAAAGTTTATAATTAAAATGAGCTAACCGGCACTCCTCCACCCCCCCAAAACTCCAGTGGGAGGGAGGACAAAATCTTAAAGATGGTTGCCAGATCCAAATTGCTAAAAGTAGCGAGCTGACGGTCAAAACGTAGGGAATTTGCAAGTAGAGTAGCCCAATTTTTTGTTTAGTCAAATCAAATCAAATCAAATGTTTATTCAGGTAAAAGTACATACATACAAGATGAGTTATAAACATAATGTTAGATTTCTAGATAGCGACAGTACATACAGACAGACGACATTCAAATTTAGTAAGTTTATCTTTCTTCTTTGATAGAACAGACTTGATGCTCATCTGCTGATGACTTACCTCCGATATATTTTGTCTGTGTTTTAATGTTTCACTGTGTTTCTTTAAACCACTTCTATGAGCTCTTATCTCAGTTCTTCAAACTTTACAATATGCCTTATTTCCATCTTCTTTCACTTCAGCCAACCACTTTCCAAACACGGGATCCTTAAGCCAGGACATCGGAAACGCTTTCTGGTATTTAAACCACTTCCCCATTTTACACTTCTTTATCTTAACACTTAAGCAAATCCTAAAAGTAACAGCGGTAACTTCTTTTCTATATGCGGTAACTTGTGTCGAACTATCCTTCTGGAGGTCAGAGCCACACTAACAATGAAAGCACAGATGAAGCTGCCAAGTTCACTATATGCTAATCCGCTCTAACGACAGTCATTTGATTCTTGGAAACACCTAAAGAGAAACCTAATATTTACAGTAGGCATGGGGAGTAGACCTTCAAAACCAGTCCAGATTCCCGGTGGAGGAGATTTCAGCAAATTCAACTTCAATAATAAACAGATAAACTGGGAGCGAATAAACCAGGCCTTCACAGAAATAAACTGGGAAGAACAGCTAGGAAATGCAAACCTGAACCAGTGCCTGGAAAAAATAAGCTCAGTAGCACTAGAAATATGTTCAAACCGCATACCTCTAAGAAAAAAAGAGGAAGAGATGCAGATTGGAACGGGAACGTCGTTCCCTATATAGGCGAAGAAAACGAATCGCGGAACAACTTGAGAGTCGCACCCTATCTCAAGAACGGCGAAGAAGGTTAGGTAGAGAAATAGAAACAATTGAACAGAAGTTACAAGAATCATACAGAACCCAGGAGAGGCAAAGAGAGCAAAAGGCCATCAGTGAAATAGAAAGAAATCCGAAATATTTTTTCTCCTATGCAAAATCAAGATCAAAAACCACATCTAGTATCGGGCCCCTGCGAAAGGGAGGTGGAACTTTCACAGATGACAACAAAGAAATGAGCGAGCTACTGAGGACGCAGTACGACTCTGTTTTCAGCGAGCCATTAAACACACTAAAGATTGATAACCCAAATGAATTTTTCATGGATACGATACCAACATCAAATCATATATCAGACGTCACCCTATCCCCACTGGATTTTGAAGAAGCCATAAACAGTATGCCTATGCACTCTGCACCAGGCCCGGATTCTTGGAACTCCATATTCATAAAGAACTGTAAAAAAACACTATCGCAGGCCCTCCACATTCTGTGGAGACAAAGCCTAGATACTGGCGTTATTCCTGATATACTAAAAACAGCAGAGATAGCACCACTTCATAAAGGAGGAAATGAGGCAGAGGCAAAAAATTACAGACCGATAGCGCTAACATCGCACATCATAAAAATTTTTGAGAGAGTGCTAAGAAGTAAAATCACAAAATACATGGAATCACAGCAACTCCATAACCCCGGACAACATGGTTTCAGAACAGGGCGCTCTTGCCTGTCGCAGTTGCTGGACCACTATGATATGGCATTAGATGCTATGGAAGACAAACATAACGTGGATGTAATTTACACAGATTTCGCAAAAGCTTTTGATAAATGTGACCATGGTGTTATTGCACATAAAATGCGTTCAAAAGGAATTTCCGGAAAAATAGGCAGATGGATCTACAATTTCCTGACCAACAGAACCCAATGTGTAATAGTCAACAAAATAAAATCCAGCCCATCAACCGTGAAGAGCTCAGTCCCCCAGGGTACTGTGCTTGCTCCAGTACTTTTTCTCATCCTCATTTCGGACATAGACAAGAACACAACCTATAGCACTGTATCATCCTTTGCAGATGACACTAGGATCTTCATGAGAGTAGGCAACATAGAGGACACGGCGAACCTCTAGTCAGATGTAGATCAGGTCTTTCTATGGGCTACAGAAAATAATATGGTGTTTAACGAAGATAAGTTCCAGCTCATGAGCTGTGGAAAAAATGAAAATATGAAATGAAAATAAACGGAAACCACGTACAAAACTCAGGCAAATCATAACATAGAACGAAAAGGCAATGTGAAGGATCTGGGTGTACTCATGTCGGAAGACCTTACCTTTAAAGAACACAATAAAGTAGCGTCACAACTGCAAAAAAAATGACAGGTTGGATAACAAGAACTTTTCACACTAGAGATGCTATACCGATGATGATACTTTTCAAAACGCTTGTGCTCTCTAGAGTGGAGTACTGCTGCATAATGACAGCATCTTTCAAAGCTGGAGAAATTACTGACCTGGAGAGCGTGCAGAGATCCTTTACTGCTAGAATCCACTCAGTAAAACATCTAAACTATTGGGACCGACTAAAGAGCCTAAAACTGTACTCCCTTGAGCGCAGGCGGGAGAGGTACATAATAATTTACACGTGGAAAATATTAGAGGGGCTGGTCCCAAACCTGCACACAGAAATAACATCACATGAGACCAGAAGACATGGCAGGATGTGCAGAATACCCCCGTTGAAAAACAGAGGTGCAACTGGTACTCTGAGAGAGAACTCTATCAACATCAGAGGCCCGAGACTGTTCAACACGCTTCCACTACACATAAGGGGCATAACTTGCCGACCCCTCACAGTGTTCAAGAGAGAACTGGATAAGCACCTCCAAAGGATACCTGATCAACCAGGCTGTGACTCGTACGTCAGGCTGCGAGCAGCCGCGTCCAACAGCCTGGTTGATCAGTCCGGCAACCAGGAGGCCTGGTCGACGACCGGGCCGCGGGGACGCTAAGCCCCGGAAGCACCTCAAGGTAACCTCAAGGTAGGCAACAGTGGGAGGTCACTTAACATAGACAGTACCCGGGATGAAG